TATGTAGGGGAATACAAGTACAGGATATTGGACTTCTGGTCCGGTCAAACCCTTTAACAGGTTTTACTGTGGACTGGCCTCACCTCAAACATGTACAAACCATGAGTTCTTGTAACGAACTTAATTCCTGTCCCTCGAAGAAAACACGAAGAATCCGTAATTTAAATACAGTTCTGTAATGTTTATTTTCAGTTTGAATTATGACATGAAAATTATGGCAAATATTGAATATGAATATGAACCAATATTATTTTAGAAAGTAAATGGCATAAATCTGAGAACTTTGAGGAGTTTTGATTCAATTTGGACTAAGGTCTAGCTCTTAATGTTAAAATTTAGGTAAGTTTATCTCAGATTCATGAATTAAATTATCTAAACAAACTCAGAGGGCACTGTTTCATGGTCCTCTCATCAGAAAGAAGATGTTCATCTCTCATTACCACAGCGGATGCATGAAGGAAGCCGGTGGCCCGCTGTCCCAAGAATAATGTCGTTCCTCATGGCTGCGGTTTGTTCGGCTCGTACCTTTAGCTCCAGGGTGTTTGAGATTTTTCAGGATGTCCACCATCTCCCAGTTGGACATGTCTTCCATCATATGGCTGTTGTTTCTCAGAGAGTCTCATCAACTCTCCAACCACTCATGCCATCTGCTCAGCTCAGCTGATGATCCAAAGCCAACTTACCTCATCGGCTGCCATCTTGCAACTCCCTCTGTGTTCAGTATACCTGGCACCAGGAAGACGGGCCCCTTAACTTTTAACCAATCAGAGGGCTTCTTACAGTAGGAGTATCCCACTGTATAATTAATGTAACTAAAATCTTCCTTCTCAAAGTTCTTGAGAGAAGATAATATAATGACCCTTTGTTAAGGATGTGTGACACCATGCTGATACAAACAAAATGGGTTTCTTTGAATCAGAACTTCAACTGGTGGGTTTACAAGTAAACAACTTTAAAAGGATGGCGGCGAAGATGGCGGCGTGAGCGCATGGCTGTGCAGAAGCTGAGCACCAAAGCTTAAAAAATATAACAAAACAAAAGGCCAAACGCCATGTTTCATTAAAGGAATTTTCTGGAGTTTGTTGTTAACTCAAGCTGGACAGACTGAGGAGTCTGCGACTGTTGGCGGCCAGCTAAACGGACGTCCCTGAACACATCGTCGTGGGACGGTCAAGAGGTGTAGGAGACGAGGAGGCCGCGGATGATAGCGGCTAGCTAGCAGTGGGACAGCCCATCTGCTGCTGCTGCACCGAGGCTTGGGTGTGTGGGCGACAAGGAGACCACGGCTGTCGACGGCTAGTGAAGCAGCGGCCCGTGAACGCTACATCGTGGGGCAGCCAGCTGCTGCGTCTCGGACCTGGGAGTTTCGGAGACGAGGAGACCGCGGCTGTTGACGGCTAGCAAGGTGAACGCTACATCGTTGAACGAGAAAAAACAGTGACCAGGCACAGGAGCTACTATCACGGGGCATAGACGCTGCTAAGGCTAGGCCCAGAAGCTACCACTGTGAGTAATGGCAAAAAATAAGAACAAACAGAAAACATTCAACTCAACAGATGAAAATTCAAATGATATGGAAGAGATTAAAAGCTCACTGAACTTTATGGGTACAGAGCAGAAAAGACAAGCAGATCAGCTGAACAGCTTGATGGAAGCGTTGGGAGAGATAAAGCTGCTGAAAAACCAGGTGATGGCAAGAGACAAAAAGATATCTGAACTGGAAAATAAAGTAGATGGTCTAGAACAATTTATAAAAAAACAATGACTTGCTGATTAACGGATTGGAAATCAAACACCAATCCTATGCAGATGCTACTAAAAATGGAAGCATCACTGAAGATTCACCACAGGAGCAACAACTAACTCTGGAACAGCAAGTAGTTACTTTCTTACAGGACAAGGACATTAAAATCGAACAAAAGGACATTTCAATTTGTCACACATTGCCTAATAAATTAAACAAACACAAACCGACTGTAGTGATCAAGTTCACAAACAGGAAATCAAGAAACAATGTAATACAAGCAAAAAAACTGAAAGGAACAAACGTCTACATAAACGAACACTTAACAAAAAAAAAAATGCAGATATTGCATGTGAAGCAAGGCTGTTAAAAAAACAAAAAAAAAATATCATCAACTTGGACCAGAAACGGAAACATTTGGATCAAAGAACAGGAAGGGTCTCATACTAAAATAATAAAAGAACTCAAGGAGCTGGAAAGATTTAAATGAGTCCAGAAATGGACAAACAAACAAGGTAAACGGATAAGCTAAATAAGGTAAACGAATAAGCTAAAAATGGTAAATGACAAATGGACACATACATTGAAATATGACAACATACGAAGACTCATAATTTAAAATTTACAATATAGATGATGTGATTGATAAAAACTTTTTTTCCTGAAATTAAAGAGTGTGAGTATTACAATGAAGAAAAATTCAATGAAATTAAAATGTCTAAAGATGACTTCTCCATTATTCATATTAATAGCAGAAGTATAAACACTAATTTATCTAAAATAACAGATTATTTAAATCAGTTAAATAGAGCTTTCAGTATAATAGCAGTCTCAGAAACATGGCTAAATGAGGAAAACATAAAAAGTGTTAATATTGAAGGGTATGAACTTTATCATGTGAACAGAAACAATAAACGAGGTGGGGGCGTAGCTCTACTTGTAAATAAGGAAATTAAATGTAAAATGATCAATAAATTGTCAGTAGCTGTGGATAACATTATGGAAATGATTACAGTTGAAATATTAAACGAGACTTCCAAAAATATAATGATAAGTTGTGTATATTGATCACCTGATTCAAATATTGAATCATTCACCAATCACATCATGACAATATTGGAAAAAAGTTCTAATAAATCAGTTTTTTTGTGTGGAGATTTTAATATAGACCTGGGAAATAAAACAGACTCAAATAATATCGGAACATTTATAAACTCAATGCACAGTTTAAATCTTTATCCATTGATTTCAAAACCCACAAGAATTACTACCCATAGTGCTTCAATAATTGACAACATTTTTACAAATATAACAAATAAAGAACTTATGGGTGGCATTTTGATCACGGATGTCAGTGACCACCTACCAGTCTTCACTATCTATAAAAAAGATCAATATGATATGAAAGTAGATAAAATTATGAAAAAAATAATAAACACATCAAAGAAAGCTCTAGATAAACTAAAAGAAGATTTAACAAAACAAAATTGGAAGGATGTATATGTTGATGATGTAAACAAAGCATATGATGTATTTATGAATATTTTAGGAGCTTTGTATAAAAAAAATTGTGTACAAGAAAATTACACAAAGAAACATGTTGATGACAAACCGTGGATGACCAAAGGGTTAAGAAATGCTTGTAAAAAAAGAACTACTTATACTCAAATTTTCTGAAATTAAGAACAAACGAAGCAGAACAGAGATATAAAAATGATAAAAAATAAATTGGTAGGGATTATAAGAAAGCATAAAAAGAAATATTACAGTGAATTATTAGACAAAAGTAATGGTAATATGAGGGCAACATGGCAAATAATGAACAGTGTTCTGAATAATCATAAAACAAAATCGAGCATTCCACAATATTTTGTAAAAGATGACAAAGACATTTATGACCAAAATGAAATCGCAAATGGATTCAATCAACATTTTGTGAATATTGGCCCAAGTCTGGCAGCAAAAATCCCAAAAATAGATAAAAATGTAAACCATATGGTTACGGATTACACAAACAGTTTTTTTTCTTGGGGGAACTGATAAAGAAGAAATTATGACTATCGTAAAACATTTTGCAGATAAAAAATCAAAAGACTGGATGGACATGGATATGATGCTTGTAAAGAATATTATGAGTTATGTTATTGAGCCATTTACAGGGGTATTTCCAAATAACATGAAAATAGCCAAGGTAATACCATTATATAAGAGTGGAGAGAAACGTGTGTTTAATAATTACAGGCCAATATCGTTGTTGCCACAATTTTCGAAGATTTTAGAGAAATTATTTGTCACTAGATTAGATGAATTTATCAATAAGCAAAATATATTAAGTAATAGTCAATATGGGTTTAGACCTAAAAATTCTACGTCAATGGCACTCATGGATTTAATGGAACAGATAACGACTGCTGTGGATCCAAAAAAATATTGTATTAGTATTTATGTTGATCTAAAGAAAGCATTTGATACTATTGATCACAATATTCTTCTCAAAAAACTAAATAAATATGGTATTAGAGGGCATGCATTGCAGTGGGTATCTAGTTATCTAGCAAAAAGGAAACAATTTGTTCAAATAAATGATGTAAAATCTGAATTCTGTAATATTACATGTGGAGTGCCTAAAGGCTCTATACTTGGACCTAAGCTATTTATTTTATATGTGAATGACCTGGTAAATGTGTCTGGATTTTTTTAATGTATTTTGTTTGCAGATTATACTACTTTTCTTTGTGTGGGTGAAAATGTTGTGCAAATGCTGAAGATGGCACAAACAAAATTTGTGAAAATACAAAATTGGTTTCAACTAAACAAATTATCTTTAAATGTAGATAAAACAAATTATATGATTTTTAGTAATAACAAGAAAGTGCTTGATACTCCATTTAGAGTCGATGGAATTGAAATTAATAGAGTCAATGAGGTGAAATTTCTGGGTGTCATCATTGATGAAAAACTAACATGGAGATCTCACGTAAAAAACTTAAGAACTCAAATAGCTAAATCGATTGCAGTAATGTACAAAGTTAGAGAGTTATTCAATGATAAAGCAATGTTTCTATTGT